AAACATAACTATAAACACAAAAAGGGAATTGATTGAAAAGGGAAACATGAAAATGGATGGAAACTAATTATTAGGTGCTCGAAATATTTTAAAACAAGCTTTTTGCTATGTTACTACTTCAAGATGTTCTATGACTGACATTGTTATAACATTTTACTAATATATTTATGAAATCATTTTGATGGATGATGTAATAATGTAAAATATGGATGCTTTGCTAAATTGTATTAAAAAGTCTGAGAGTAGAGTCCTGACACAAGGCCAGTAATAAGATATAATAATGTGGTTTCTAAGGAACCACGTTATTATATGTTTTGCTTCTAAAGATGAAAACTTTCTACGGCTTGTATGATCTGCAGACACACTTTGTTTCTGAGCCGTGATACAAAGACTGATTTAATTGTGTTGCAAAATTCAAACAAAATAGCAAGGCCAACTGTATCTCCGTCTGGGTCAAATTCCTCCAAGTATTAGCAGTCATATTTCCTCCCACTTTCTCACCCTCTTGGTTTCCTCTCCCTCCACCTCAGGGCTGCAAGGAGCTCCAGGAGCCCAAAGCATGCTGGGAGCGATGCACACGGACAAATTGAAGCTAGTCATCTGGTTTTCGTGGGCGTTGCCCTGGATACCGCGCAGCATTGCTAACAGGTAGCGTAGCAGCAGGGCGTTTTCTTTGGGAAGCCGTAAAATCATCCTGGAGAAAAAGAACAGTCGTATGTCAATATGTATTCATATTCAAAATTCAAAGGTTTTATTGTCATATGCACATGAAATTATTCTGCTCCTCCAACGATGCAACATATATAATAAAATACAAAATAGTGCAAAAAGTCAATATACATGTAAATAGAATATGATATGTACAAGAACAGAATTTTAAATTAAATAATGTACATTAAGACACAATTAAATACGATTTATTGCGGTGATAACTATTTCTATAAATAAGTAGGTTGCAAGTTGACAATGTTTATCGGGGCATATATTTACTATAGTATGATATTGTGTTATTTCCAGTTGATATATATATATTTAAATAATGCACAGTACAGTTTTTAACATTGCGTCACCTCTTTACGTCCTGCAATTGTTCCTCTTCCTCCTCCTCTTCCTCCAGAACGTCCATCCACTCTTCATGGAGCTCACAACACAACAAGCTGCTTGGGATGCTGCGCAAGAAATCCTGAAAACAAACAAACCTTTATCACACATGCATCGTTTCCTTAGTTTCTAGTTTTGATACTGTAAGTGTTCACATGCATGATTAAGATTGATGTGTGTAATAAGTGACCCCTTGTGTGCAGAAGCTCTCTGTTATCCCTGCAGATAATAATAATAATAATAATCCAGATTATAGTAACAAGCTAATCCAGATCCTCTGCTGTCTGTTCTGCTAACGTAGCTGCACGGTACACACAGAGGATTTACTTTCAGTTGTGGGTCAATTAGCTCACAAATAACATGATGCTACGATGACACGTGTTGCTATGAAGCTTCATTAAATATTGAATAATGTATTTATGTAAGAGAATTACAGAGCATGGGGTGGGGGGTGATTTCCCCCCAAAAACTAAGAATTTCTAGGATTTAAATATAGAAGAAATAACCTAGAAAATTATGAGAAAATAATCAAATAAATCCTTCAATATTGTTTATTACCAGTAAAATAAGGTGCTTTTTCTTAATATTCTGTCTATTGATGTTTAACTTAAATATATATATACACCCATACTGTTAGGGTGGCACCATTGTAGGTAAAAAAATAATACAAATAATTACGAAGCAGGGGGTAGGGGGTGATTTTCCCTAAAAGAAACTAAGAATATTTAAGATTAAAGTCGTAAATATAGGAGAAAAAACCTACAGATTATGAGAACATAATCAAATATTCCCAGATATAATAAAGTAATTAATTTATAAGAAATACATCTCAAGTTCTCTGAGATTAACATCACAAATTCCCAATAAAACACAATTTGGATAAATAGTTTTTTTGATAGTAAACCACATTGGTTCCCTTCACAGTGTATTATGCCAGCAGCAGATAACCAACTAATCAAATGATACTTTTCAATCAGATCTGGCATTAATGAAACTCTCGTGATGTGAACCCAGAAGCATGATATCATGATGACTCTAACTGTCTCACTTTAAAGACTCCGGCGATGAGGAAGACGTGGTCTCTCGTCAGAGGAAGTTGAAACTCTCCGCTGTCCAAAGAGTCCCGAAGTTCACGGACGGCTCGCGCTCCAGCCGGACGACGGAAGATCCCCCGCGTCCACGAACCCTCGTGGTAAAGGAACGCCATCATGTCCTAAAGAAGGGACAGAAAATGTAATAAAAAGTCTAAAAAAAAGTTTAAAAACAAACACAATTCTTGGTGAGAAAGAAGGATAAACAAACTATGAAATCACTACTTGTTTTTCCCACTCACCATCACGGGTTTCGGCAGAGCGTCCTCCACGCAGACGGAGCTCAGTGATTGGCCGAACAGAACGCCTCGGGGCCCGCTGGCGAGGGAAAGTTCGTTCAGGTGAGAAGAGGAACCTCTCCAGAAAGCCCAGGTGATGAGAGAGCGCCTCCTTTTGAACGGCTTCTGAGACAAATCTGAGAAGAAGAACACAGTATCCCAGAATGCATTAGCAATTAAGAGGATCAGGATCAAAATGATAGATAGATGGATAGATGGATAGATAGATAGATAGATAGATAGATAGATAGGTAGATAGATAGATAGATAGATAGATAGATAGATAGATAGATAGATAGATAGATAGATAGATAGATAGATAGATAGATAGATAGATAGATAGATAGATAGATAGATAGATAGATAGATAGATAGATAGATAGATAGATAGATAGATAGATAGATAGATAGATAGATAGATAGATAGGTAGATAGATAGGTAGGTAGGTAGATAGATAGATAGATAGATAGATAGATAGATAGATAGATAGATAGATAGATAGATAGATAGATAGGTAGATAGATAGATAGATTTTCATCCCCAGATATTGATCTCACCTGCAGATTCCCGCGGTGCTTCATTGATTCGAGGCTTCATAATGAACTGGCACTGCTTGTACACCTGCATCTGCTCCACCTGTCTGTCTGCCGCACTGCTCCCCCCCCCCTGAGACCCCGCCTGTCTCACATGACTCATCTGGATACTGAAGGGAAACTCATGACCTGAGAGGGAGGACAAGAGGCAATATAACTCCCCGCAGGCTGGTTAGAAAAACATGGATAACATCACATTAATAGTCAGCACACACACTGTGACCTCTCGCTTTCACCCTGCAGGAGATACATTACACAACACACACTCTTCTCCACGAATGAATGGTGCTAGTGTGTCTAAAAAAACAAACATCTCACCCCCGTGTCAGCACTTAGAGCTTCTCAAACTTTCTCTGCAGAAGCGAAACAGAAATGACCTGAAGACTCAAAGTGGTCCTGACTTACTGACCTATCAGAGGATAGGGGGCGTTGTCCCTCTTGGAGATGACCCACAGCTGGAAGTCTTTCACATTTCCCTGAGCAAAACACAGAGAGAGACGGTCAGAAAAACAAGAAACACTCGGAGAACAATGCCTTTAAAACCACACAGTCGGTCCTGCAGAAGAGGAGGAATACATTTTAGGATCGGAGATGTAAAAAGAGTAGAAGTTTTTACACGCTGTGGGTTTATATCACATGCAACTTGCACACATGAGCTGGAAATAGGCTACAGGGCGTCTGTGAAAACATTAGTTGTTCTGAGTTGTATGCCATGGATGATTATGTTGTAAAAAATGTGACATCAGGGAAACCAGGACCGACATCTTTCAAAATGTTAGGAGATAAAACACAAAATGGAAAGCCCTCACTACATAAACGCCTGCAGGTTAACATAATGAAAACGTATCTAATCAAAAACTATATTTGAGTAGCAGTGTCAGGTCATTTAAATAAGCACCTTACTTAATACTTATACAGTTAACATGATCAATACATGTGTTTCGTTATGTAGTTTGTTGCTGTTTACATCAGATCACAAACAGACAGTTTGTATGTATGTTACAATACATGAAATTCAATTCAATTAAAATATGTTGTTCACTCACTATGATGCCAAACTGCTGCAGGGCCAGGCGGATCACCTCATTGGCTGAATCTGAGTTGCTGACAGGAAGTGTCTTGGTCTAATTGGGATAGAAAGACATATGGACAAACCAAGACAAGAGGTGTAACTTCAGATATACATCAGTAATAAAAGTGACAGAACCAGACAATCTTTAAACATCACATCATTGAGAGCTTAAGTGGGAATAATATGGTGTTGGTGTATACAACTCATCCTGATAACATTACAGAAGGTAAACTTACAATAGCAAAAGTATTGATTCCCTTCCCATAGACTCTCAGAGGAATAGTTTTAGGTTCCTCCTTCTCCTTCTCTTCTTTTATCCGACTGGAAAGGAAGCAGAGAGGAAGCTTTACTCGTCTCTCTTCACACACACATTTTATGTTTATGCATGGAGGCAGAGTTTACCTTTTGAGAAGGGAGAGCCATCTCTCTTTCTGTTCTGCTGAGCTGAGGAGAACATGGAGAAGATGTCATTCATTTCAGAGTAGGGCTTATCCTGTCTGCTTTCTGATCACTTGGCAAATACAGGCAGGTTTACAGCATCAACAACATATTTACTACTCAATTTAAACACATTTTACAGCCTCTGACGCAAGAAGATTCAAGGCTTTTATTGTCATTTGTACATTAGCTACAGTGTAGTTATGTCAATGCAAATCTTAGGTGACAGGCTCCTCCAAGTGTGTGTGGGTGTGTGTGTGTGTGTGTG